TGCTGTTGGCACAACGTGCGTCTGCCTGATGGGCAACAAGGCCCACCGCTGTGGACAGTTTACACACTGTGATTTACTGGAGAAACTGGGTTTATACAGTTGTGTGGTGTTTACTCTGTGAATCCAGAGCAGATCAAATAGAGAGTCTGAGTTTAAGAATTATAAGCTGACATGCAGCTTTCTGCTGAAAAAAAGAAAATAGTTAGGCCTCTTCGCCTGATTTCCCCTCTAACATGGTAATCCTCCGGAGAGAGAGAAGAGGGAGGGCCCAAGCACGGTCAGCTGGCTAGGGAGGTGGATAGCAGGCCCCGGGCAGCCGCCGTTCTCTCCTCTGGAAGAATGGGTTACACATCTCCTGGCATCAGAAGAATTCACTACTGCCCTCTATTTCTATACTCTGCAGCTAAGGCTTTTAAATGTGTTTTACTCCTGTTTCCCCCCAGGGGCTCAACAGAGGCGGGATAAATCCCCCCTCAAGTACACATGTAGTTACGTGTTTAGTTGCGTCGACTGGGAACTTCCTGCATGATTTGCTGCCTGAGGAGCTGACCCCGAGACAGAAATCCAGTGGGCTCTTGCGTTAGCTTTTGTCTCCCGCCTCTGCCATGTCCTCTAGAATAAACGAAATACATAACGATGTTAATAGCATGAAGTTTAAGTCCAACAGAATAACCTCATTTCATCTCTTTATTTACATTTTATTTCTTTATTGCAAAGCAGGGTGGGGCACGCACATACAGTGCTGCAGGAGATGAGGTCAGAGGACAAAATATGGGCGTTGGTCCCCTCCCCTCAACTATGTGCATTCCCAGGATCAAACTCAAGTCTTTAGCCTTAGGGGCGACCCATTGCCGTAGCCCTGTTGTGAAAAGGGAAAAGAGTGAAAGATCTGGAATCCCTTTACCCTATCCCAGAGGTAACTACTATTGCGATTGTAGTATGCGTCTCTCTGTTTGTCTTACCTTTAGGCTTGAGAACATCCAGGTTTAAACAGAAGAAACCTATCTCTTTACGTAAGCACGCACTGTGATTTCCGAGAATACTCTCAGCCCAAACTTAGTCATATTGCTGTCCATTAACCAGTGGGGGGAGGGGGGGCATGAGGCACCCTTCATTTCCATCCTGCTCCAGCACCGATGGTCAATCTTGATCATTAACTTTATTACCTAGAGACAAGACAGGGCGGTTAGTCACTTCCTTGCGAGGGAGCCGGTGAGGGCGTGTCCAGGGAGGGCTGGACCACTGAGGCTCTGACCTAACCAGTGCTTACTCATTACCTGATCTAAACCTGCTGAGGGGTAGTGAACTGTGGGAGACAAGTGCTGGGTGGAGGCTGTGGGTCACTGGGAGAGTGCCTTCAAACGGAGACCTCTTGCCTGGACCCCTTTCTGTCTTTGCTCTGCTTCCTGGCTTTCTGTGGTAAGCAGCTTCTGCTCCACCGTGTCTGTCTGCCACTGATCGGCAGCCCCACCACAATCTCATCTATGTGGAACTGGGCAGCCAGGGACTGAAGCCTCTCAGACTGTGACCCAAAACCGGTCCATCCAAAACTTCCTTCTTTAGCTGTCTGTCTCGGGCATTTGTCACAGGGAGGAGAGACTGACTTAACACAGCCGCTGTTGCCTTTCTGCTGTCCTTTCGTTCCAAGGATGAGGGATGAATGTTTTGAAAAATGAGTCCTGCTACGGTGTCTTTTGTGGAGAATTTTAAATCATGGACACCTGAAGCCACTGGAGGTGCCACTGTGGGATGCAAGAAAACCGTAGAAGGATTCCACAGCAGGAAGTTAGCACGGCACACGTTGCAGAATCTTTTTGTGCAGGGAAAGCTAGTTCTCGCATGCTTTCTGACAAGCAGCAATGTGGGCTTTGGTTGCCTTCTCTGGTGCTTTCTGAAGTCGGAGGTGATCAAAGTTTGCATTCGTTTCCCACTGCTGGGAAGAAGCCCCAGCAGAGTGTTATTCAGTGGAACAGGTTGATTTTGGCCGTAGCTGTGGCGGTTCCAGCAATGTCCATCAGGCCCACTGCTCCCAGGGATCCTGCGCTAGCGCTGGGTACAGTGGCTGCAGTTACACAGTGGAGAAAATGGCCTACACATGGCCTGGGTGCGAAAAGGGAGAAAGGGATTGAGCCCTACTATCCCCCACCAGAGCATGTCCCCAAAGACCCAACGACCTCCCACCAAGCCCACCACCTAGGCACCTCATCCCCTCCCCATAAGGCCGCCCCGGTGACCTCATCTCCTGGGCACTTAGCAAACACTTGATACAGCCTACATCAGGGCAGCCCCGGTCTCCAGGGCTCCTGCCCTAAATGGTTGTTTCTTTCCATGAAGCGCCGAATACTGGTGCCCTGTTTTGCACAGAAGCACTGTGGTTTAGCCACCACTTGTTTCCTCAGCAGACCTTACCTTGATGGTAACCTGGGATTTTCTCCAGTCTTTGTTTACATATCCTACGGCCTCGCTCATAACCTCACACAGCTCTCGTGTTTTGTGATCAAGGGGCTCTTTTCTTTGATGTGTTTGCTCTTGCTGGATTTTTATCACCAAGCTGGTAATGATTGCAATCAATCATTAAAAGCAATGACCCTTAATCCACCCTTGTACAAGAGAATTCTTATAAATAAACTGATCCTTTGTTTTCTAGTTGTTTTTCTTTTTTCTTTTTCTAATCTGAGTATCTGCACCTTGGAAAAATTAAAATGCAATTACTGTAAGCCTCTTTGCTGGCTTTTGCTCGGAGCACTGCATGCTGCACAATGAGAGTGGGAAACCCAGTCTGCCAGCTCACAGGGCAGGGAGCTGCTGGGACCCAGGAAAGTATTTGTGTGGCATTTAAGGTCTGCTGGTTCAGCAGCAGGGCCCACAGCAGGCACGCTCAGGACAGCAAGCTCAGCACATCTGGCCATATTATGCCTCTCTTCTCTCTCACCACATGACTCTCCTAGAATATATGCTTCTGATTGCCTATAATTGATTCATTGACCCAGAATGGCTCTGACCTGTGTTGACAGCCACTGCAGTGTGTGTCTTTCTCTCTCTGTGTGTGTGCTTGTGTATGTGTGTGTGTCCTATGTACATATCATCAGGACTGCCTAACAGCATCCCATCTAATTACTGGTGGGCTGTCAGCAGCAACCCACAAAGCATTTTAGAATAGAACCAGACTAATGACCTTGAAGGCAACAGGCAGCCAAATTGCATCCTCTCTGGGTGTGCTTTCTTTCAGCCCACTGTCTGCCATGCTGGATTGTTACCCCCACATGCATGAAATAAGTATTTAATGAATAAGTATTTAACTTATTTCTTTGCTGCTGCTGCTGCTGCTGCTGCTGCTGCTGCTGCTTTCAAATTCTGCCACCTTGGCTAAGCACATTGCACATTTCCAGAGACAAATAGGCCTGTGGCACAGTACAGCTGCTCATCATGTGAAATGCGGGCTGTGTCCCCCCCCCCCCCGGTAACACCAGAACGGCATTGCTCTGCAAAGCCTGCATGTGAAGCCCCTCTGTGCCTCATGGAGAAGACCCAGAAGGTTGGAATGACCTGTGTATGCCCAGACTTTGTGCCAGCTTGATAATATTTTTCTCTGTGGTGCTGAGGACCAAACCAAAACCCTCACATTCCTCAGTCAGCCCTTTACCTCTAAGCTGTGCTGAAAACCCTAGTTTTCTTTTACATGGAGCCCTCAGGCTTCGTTTCCCTCGCCTCACTCTGAAGGGGGAGGATAAGTACGAGCATGGATATCAAATGTGTGAGAAGCACGGTGACACCCAGAGCTGGCTTCATGCTAAGGAGATGAAGTTATTTTTAAGTAGGGAGGGGAAGGCCATTTTTAATGAGATAGTTCCTCCCAGACAGCCCTCTTTTATTCTCCGCCAACTCCATCCCTCCTGAGCCATTTCAGGAGAATTAGTGAGGTAGTCTGAGCTCGAGCAGGATGGAGCTTAGCAGGCGGACAGTCCCCACGGTGGTAATGAGCAGGCATTTCTTCCTTGAATGACCATAACTTGGTGCTGAGCCAGAATGTAAAGAGCTTCTCTGCTCATCCTTCATGGCTTTTGGCTACTGCCACACAACTCTAGTGTGACCTCACAAGAAGGACAGTTAGCCCCCTCCTCTAGTCTATCCTGGCCTCTGTGAAGGGCAGACTGCACAGGGGTGGATAGCCAATGGGCAGGAGCCCAGAGATCTTGCTGCCCTAAGCCCCAAGGTGCCTGGATGGCACAGGACGGACATCCTGGGAACAGAGAGAGCAGAAGTATAGAGAGCTGCTGCGGAGGGCAGGCAACATGGAGCCAACCTGCTGAAGAGTGGCTTCCTCTCCCTGCTCTGCAGCTGAGAACAATAGCCTTGCTCTCCTCAGCCATCTGTGTTGTTCACATGCGGCCCTTGCCAGTGAGTTTTCCTCTCAGGGAAACCCCTGGCCCTTCTCCAGCAATTGGCTCACCGATGCCCACCTGAATCTTCTGCCTTCTGCACGCTGCCTCTTGTGATTACCCAGCTCTGTGCTGCCCTTGTCTCTGAGGGTCAGGACTAGGGGGAGGCAAAACAACAAAACTTAAGGATGTCCTTCTCAAGGACGCTCTCCATAAAATTTGCACACTGCTCATTTTGCTTTGCTGCTCTCACTCTGAGCCCCAAATGCCAGGCCAGGTGATCTTGCAAAAGTCTCCCTCCCTTTCCAAACTTGGTTTGGCTTGCCTCTATCCTCAGTGATGAAAATGGAATTCAATGCTTTGGATAAGCCACTCAGCACACTACCTGACCCATGGCAAGGGCTTGCTAGATGTCTGTGGTCACTATTGCTATTACTGAATGAATACACAAGCATCCTACAGGAGCCAGCCTCAGGGGAGCCCCAGGCTTGCAGGACCAGCCAGGCAGCAGTGTCCCCATCTGCCCCTTTCCAGATTGTGCGTGATTCTGACTGTGTGGACTTTCCTGGAGGTCAGGGCCTCCCCGATCTGAAGAGGATGTATTTTGTGTCTCTGCTGCAGGGATTGCTTACTTAGGAGGCGTGTGCAGCGCTAAGAGGAAGTGTGTGCTCGCCGAAGACAATGGTCTCAATTTGGCCTTTACCATCGCACATGAGCTGGGCCACAAGTAAGTATCAGACTCTGATGTCCTGCCTCCTTCCCTCTTCTCCAAAGTACTTCCCACTTGAATTCCAGGAGCCCTGGGACACAGAAGCGCTGTGCCCTTGCTTTTTCTGTAATAACGAGGTCTGCCTCACAGACTCTTGAGTGTGGAAATGTTAATATGAACTTTCTGTACCCTCAACGCCAGCAGTGAGGTCTTCCTGGGTGTCTTAGTTAGCTGTGCTGCTTTTCCTAGCTCAGCACAGTCCTTTAATGCACTCTATCAAAATGGCTGGATTTGTCTTTAGAGTATTCGCTTTCTATTTTCCTTTCAGTTACATTCATTTTCTGAATGTAGGATGCAGTGTCTCAGTTTGAACGAATCAGCAGCAACTTCCTTCGCACTTGGAAAGTCTCTCTTTTAATATGAAATAACCCTAATGCCATAGAGCCCAAAGGTGCCTTCAAGAGAATCTGGGACAGCCTCCTCTATTTTCAGAGGAGGAAACTGGGTGTTAGGAGGGTTGTAATCACCTTCAGGAAGTCTCAGGGGCAGATAGCCAGCCTATTCTACAAATGTGGCCTCAAAGTTCACCCTTTCTGCTAGAGAGGATGTCTGTTTTATGTTTCTCTGAAGGGAAAAACTGTGATATGGCTGTGTAAGAACTTTAAAAAAAAATTAAATTGAGGAAACCTGAGCATGCAGAACAGTGGGAAAATTTATATTGGATTGTATAGAACATAAATGGAAATCTAGTTCTGGGGAAATGGTCGTAAAGGCTTTCTAATGACCTCCACAGGAAGGGGCCTGGGGCCTTAACTGTTATGGCCGGTTGTTGCAAGAATAAAGCCAGTGTATACAAAGGATGGAAAAGCAATTGTTTTGCTAAAGCAATAGCGATATCTCAGGCCTCTCCTTCTCTTTTGTTCTGTATATCTGGTGCCATTCGTAGGAGGTTTGGCAGTTGACACTTCTGGACTCGGAAACCATGATACGGGCACAGAGAGGGAGAACATACTGTGTGGATGTTGTGTGTGTAGCACAAGGAACATAGTATTTATTGACCTGGCTCTAACAAAGCCAGCCAAGCTTGGCTCTGATGTACACCCTTGCTTCATGCTAATGCTGCTTCCTGACTACTAGTGACAGCACTTGGCCCGCACTATTTTTTTTTTTTTCTCAATGCATTTATATCACTCCTTTCCAGTGGCAGGGGTGAGCATAGATCATGCATGGCCTTGGCAGGCATTTTCTGACTATTAAAGAACCAGCCTATCTTGGTACCTGGGCGTGAGTTGTGTAACAACTATAGGAGTGCAGAATTTGCAGGGACAGCGGGGAGCATCTGGGTTGTTTTAAATCTGTGGATCATCAAGTCACATAAGGTTATCTGAAGAAGCTCAGAAAATGGCTCAGTGGGAGAAAGCGCTTGTCACTCAAGCGTCCTACCTGAGGTCTGACATTCAGAACGCAAGCAATACCAGATGAGGTGGTGTGTGTCTGTAATCCCAGCCCTCCTGTGGTGAGATAGGCAGGTGGAAACAGCAGAATCCTTAGATGCTCACAGGCCAGCTAGCCTAGCGTACACAGCAATGAGCAGGAGACCACAACCAGCACCTGGGCTGTCTGAGTGTACACGCACACGCATGCCCGGGCACACACATACACACAAGGGTGGTTGTTCTTAAAGATGATTTGAGGGTCCGGAGAGTACTCTTTAGCTATAGACCGTGTCCAGTTTCTTGGAGAATTCCTTATAGCCTGCTACTAAATTAATTACCCACAAAAACAAACACTATGGTGAATCAAAGTTAACGAACTGTTGGGCAGTGGTTCAGAACATACACTGTTCTTCGCAGAAGATCTGGGCTCCGTCTGGCTGCTCACAACTGCCTGTCACTACAGTTCTAAGGGATCTGAGTTCCTCTGATGTCCATAGACACTCACGTGTGTCTGTGATGGACAGAAACTCGCCCAAGCACACATATATACACATACATTTAGAAACAATAAAAAGATGATTTGAGCTACTGGTGTATGAATTACAGTGTCCTGTGGCAGCAGCCACCCCTGTGGTCTGTGCCAAGGTGCTGTTTGCACATGCACTGGGTCACACATGCTGCACGAAGGTATTTCTTCCTTAAGTATGAATGCACAGAGGCCTTTTCTTCCTGATAACCTATTGGGTCGAACACTGGCTGCTTTACCACAGGGGATTTGCAGAGATGAATGGCTTGGGGCGTACCTCCGTACCCTTTAGCTATAGACTGTATACAGTTTCTCGGGAGAATTCTTTATAGCCTGCTACTGAACTCTAATTAGCTACAAAAACAAACACTATTGTGAATCAAAGCCAATAAACCCTGCCAGCATTTGGCCTCCTCCTAGCCTGGTGGTTACAGTTTTCCCAAGGAAGTCTATCCTCTGAGTAGTGTCTTTGTTGGGAGGTAGCTCCCTCCCCACTTCCACCCCCCACCTGCCAAGCCACATAATCCCCCCCTGAAGTCCCACTGGTCACCCAAGTTCAGGACAAGTGTGTGTGGAGGGGTAAGGGGCCCTGTGGACTGCTTAGAAAATGGAAGGCTACACTCTCAGCAAAGCCAAAGGTCAAACCATTCCTGAGATGTAAAACCCCAAAATGGATTGTGTTCTGGGATAGAGTGGACAGTTCAACTCTGTCCATTCACAGCTGTTGAGAAGGGTCCCCGCGTCACCGATACACTAGTCCCTATGCACTGATAAGGTTCCCGTGGAAGGTTCGAGTCTTTCTGCCTGGGTCTCAGTGGCTCTTCAACCCCTTACTGGCATACTTTCCACCAGAACCCCTCTAAGCAGCTGCCCTCCAACCCCACCTGTACCTCCCACGATAGCCAACCACACGCTCTGTTTGTCCACCAGTAAACTAACTGACCAAAATCATGATTTTTCTTCTGATTTGATCTTAAGAAAACAAAAGGCTCAATGGGGCAAGGTGGGGGCGGGTTCCTTTCAGCATCTGGGCATTGTGCTTCCCTCCCTATTCTTTCTCATAGTTTTATCTTTTCAAATAATATTTCATTATATGTGTGTATGTGTATGTGTGTGTGTGTGTGTGTGTATGAATGTTTCGCCTCTGTGTATGTGCATGTGTATGTGTGTCTGCATGTGATGTGTGTGGGGGGTGTGTAGCCACATGCTTGACTGATATCCAAGGAGGTCAGAAAAGGGTATCAAATCCTATGGAACTGGAATTGCAGATGGTTGTGAGCTGCCATATGGGTGCCGGGACTTGAACTTGGGTCCTCCAGAAGAGCAGTGGGTACTCTTAACCACTGGGCCATCTCCCTAGCCTGGCACAGTTTTATCTTAACTAGTCAAAAGTTGATTTATTTGGTTCCACAAAAGCTTCTAACCCAATTTACAGTCAACTGTGTCCGTGGTCATAAATTAAGTAGACGGTTATTACATGGGTGATGTCATTAATTCACACGAACGTGAATTCACCATGTAGCGATGATGTTTAGGCAGAATCAGAACTCACTGACTGACCGTGTACTGTAGGGCGAGGGCTGTGTTAGAGGCTTCTCGTCTACTAAGGGAGTGAGTCAGTCTAGTGAGGTTCACATGGTTTAGCTTTTACTTCAGAACCAGAGGTTGGGAAGTTAGCTCTGAATGTATTGCTGTTCGAGGATTTCGTACCTGCACATTGTGTATTCAGCTGTGCCCCTCCCTCCCCTTCAGCTTCTCCCCTGTATGTCCCACCACTATTCACTCATCGCTTTCTCTCGCTCTTCTTTAACCCACTACATCTGCTTATGCTGCCAGCATGAGCAAGAACACAGACCACTCAGTGGAGGGTAAGTCACCTCTCAGGAGCCGCATCCCCGAAGAAAACTGACTTCCTCCCAGTGGCCATCAGCTACCAATAGCTGTTTGGCTAGGGGTGGAATGCTGTGACCCCCTCCCCCAGCCATGCTGGGATTTTGTCTGGTTTGATCTTGCACATGCAAGGACATCTCCTGTGGGTTCATGTGTGCAACTGCCTTGTTATGTCTAGAAAATACTAGTTTTTGTAGTCAGCTACTGCTTACTGGGAAAATGAAACGCCCACTTCCTGAATACCCACTCACAATAAAATCTACCAACTGTGTATACCTAGGAACGGTGATTTCCCTCTGCGGAAAGTTGTCTTTGTTGAATGTGTGGGAGCTTTGTGGACAAGCCTCAGCTGGATTGTGGCAAATCAATGTCTGCCTGGCAATCCTGTCCAAACCCTGAATCCTCTGCAACACAGAACTGCAGACTCATGAGGCCAGGGGATCCTTGAGGTGAATGTCTCCTTGTCCTTGGGTTTTGTTTGGTTCTGTTTGCTTGCTGGCATATTTCTGTTCTTCAGGGAACGAGTCTCTCTCTGTTCTGAAAATTGTCCCTTCTCTGGTCAGTAGACTGATTCTGTGTGCCCCCAAAGAAAGCTGTCCTCACAGAAGCTTTGGGCCCTGGCTCCGATGACATCTGCACAGTGCTCTACATCAGCGTGCCTGGGCTGTGTAGACACAGCAGTTGCCAGGCTTCGCCGCCGGTCAGCTGAAGCAGTTGTCCTGGGGAGAAGTCTTAGCAAGGATCTCCAGAGTGCTCCCTGCATCCCAGGTGAGCGCACAGACAGCATCACACAGCATCTGCTGATGCTCTCTGTAGCACCACCCACCTTCTTGCTTCCACATCCCTTTCCTCCTGAGGTTCTTTCTTAATTGACCCACTGTGGTGCTGAAAACTGCTTGGCCTTCCTGGATCCTGTTCCCTCGGCCACCCTGAGTTTGCAGGCTTTTCCTCTGCAGAGTCAACCAGCCAGTCACACGGTAGGCAGGTTTAGTCTCAGTATCTTCAACTGTCGCCTTCTAGGACACCTTGGTCAATTGTAAAAAGCACAGGGACTAAAATAACCTATGACGGAATGTTGGAGAAGTATGGGACTGACCGGCCGGCAGAGGCCTGGCAATGGAAGTCTCATATCAAATGCACTGATAAGGAATTGAGTTTGGCCATCT